TTTATGTTTTGGTAAAAATCTGTATGCTTTTTTCAACGGGAATATTCGAAAGACATAAAAGTGCTCGTACAAGATGCAAGATACAAATCAGTCAACTCAGTTTTTGATCCTGATTCCGAATTTGATATTTTTGTTGCATAGAACTTGAGTTCTGGTTGGGAAAACTGACAATTGGTCAGTTTGTTGACACCAAAAATGATTTAAAACAGATTTTTCAGAGAAAAAGGCAAAAATTTAAAAAAGTAGCTCGAAGGATCGATAGAGCTCGAAAGTTCTATCGAATGATATATCGCATGATTTGCTTCCATTTGTTCTGATATTAGGAAAATTTACTTTGTGCGCTGGAGTGCCACTAAGTAGTGCTAACCAGAACTAATTTGTAATTAAAAAACGGTCAGAAGTACCGTTTTTAAACCTTTTTGTATGGAATTATATTTGCAAACAATTCTCTATCAAACTATACTACAATCAATTGAATGTAACATTTATATCGAAAGCTAGAAAGGCTTTAAAATATGCCTGTCAAACTAAAAATTTCAATTAATTTTCAACTTAATTAATTAATAACTCTGTCAATATTTGATCAACGAGTTTTTTATTACATAGGCATATCACCGAAGATGTTCTCTACAAAATGACCAAATTTGAGGGTATATTTAGGGGAAGGACACCCGCCCCCCCTTAAGCGTAGCTAAAATAGTACTTTTTCGGCACTTATGTCAAAGAGGGAAGTAATCTGAAAGTGAGATAGAATTACCTCAGCGAAGCTATAGCGATTATAAAAGGAAGATACCAATAATAATTTTATAAGAAGTAAATCTTATTCTTCTAGTAAGAAATGCAGGATCCTTTCTATAGGAATAACGATAAATCATGCAGCAAGTTATTTTTTGTCTTGAAAATTGATGTGTCATATTAAATCTTTGACCAACAGAGTATCGAAAACACATTATAGACGCTATAATTCATCATTGGTCAAGTGAATAAGCTTTGAGTCACATCTTCTATTTGTTGTCGTGCAATAAATTTAATTATCTTTCTATGCAGACAAAACTACATTGCCTTTCTCTTTCGTTGTGTTTGAATAAGAGAGATGAGGAATGTTCTATCTAAAGTATTTTTGGTACTCATCGTGGTATTATGCAATAAAGTTAATTAAGAAGGTGAAGAATGTCATCTCTTATAACTTTTATCATCTTTTGTATTATCTTGATTAACTTGGTCGACTGTGATCCATTAAATTCAGTTGATGATAAGGATTACACAGAAGAGTACGAAACGACTGAGTCTAAAGAGCCGCCTGCGGCCATATTAAGTCCCAAACGTAGTGCGGTCACTGGTGAGTGTTTGATATTTCTCTTTTATTTCTCATTGATGTGATATATCTCTGAACCGTACAAAAAATTAAATAGTATTTTTTTCGTTTTTATGTCTAAATGGATTTCCCGGATACACTCATCATGATTTTAAACAAAATACCGATGATGAAAAAAGTCTTAACGATAATGATCTGTCATGGTGTCATAATGATGGTAAAGTTGTTTCCAACACACAATTGATTAAATCAAAATTAGATTTAACATGGCAATCATGTTGCGGTTACTCACCACAAACAATAAAATATAACCATGATCCAAACTTTCTGTCTCTTCGACGAGTTAAGCGAATGGCTTTTGGCCACAACACAAGCATCGGGGATTGGCCTTGGAGTGTAAGACTGAAACTTGGTTCGGGAAGTACATGTAGTGGAAGTTTAATAAACCCGGTAAGGTAGTATTGAAGTACTAATATTATTCGTGAGAAGAATTCATGGTTTTTAATCTTTCCACACGAATTTCTCAGTAAATCACGCAGATTCGGCGTTAGCTTTGTCCTTGACAGATTGATGTTATATTGAATAGTAACATGCATGATACAGTCTAAATCCCCAAGACTAACACCACGAGTAATATCTTGCTTAGTTTTCATGAAGAATGAACGAACCAAACATGAAATATATAGTCGACGATGAACCATTAATTTTCATTTTTCTTCAGTGGTTAGTTTTGACGGCGAGTCACTGTTTCAATCATCGGAAACCACCAACATATATTTCTGTTTCGTATCGGCGTTGGAATAGAGCTAAAACTTATGAAGATCGACCCGTTCGAGCGGTTGAATCTATTCACTATTTTCCTTCGGAATCCATCGAACTTGATGCTGATTTTGCCATATTAAAACTAAGTAAACCAGTTTTATTCGACGACACCTATCAACCAGTATGTTTACCGTCAGAAACATTACGATCAATATTAAGAGTAAATCAAGTATGCGTGGTGACAGGTAAACAAATGAACTTAATTTAACTTGTAAACAACTAATCACGAAAACTACTATACACTTTAATATCTAAAACTAAATTGTCTTTCTGTAGTTACCTGAGTAACAACAAAGCAATATCTTAAAATAAAAACCGCGAAGTAAAAATCAATCTGTTTTTTTCTGTATCGGTACTTCAACAACCATGTGTTCCAGTTTGTGCTTCCTCTTCTGTTCAACTTCTTTCTATCCGAAATTTTCTGAAGCATCTTCAGAAATGTGTACATTCTTAACACTTCCGATATCCGTATTTTCCTCGAGCTGTTGCCAAGTGCCTCTCTGCTGAGAAAGGCTTTCTACAAATTGTGAGATGAATGTTAAAATTCTGAGTTCTTTAATGTGCCCTTCCAGCAGTGTCGAGAAAAGTTAAAAGGGATATTTTATCGAAATTCTAAACCCAAAATAGAATAGAACCCAGTGTCCAATAGATTTTCTTTTTAGTCGCTTGTCTGGTCACTGTTAGAAAATCAGTTAGTTAGCATTAATTGCCAATTCTTGAATTAACAGACGAAGCTTTTTCCGATGTTTGAACTAAATCTTGATCTTAATTCAATTTTAAACAATCTTATGCAAAATAGAATCTAATCTCATTTACTTTCTGTTTTGTGAGATGTAACTGCTGAAAGCTCTAGATTTTAGATGCAAAATCTCGATTTCAGAAAAGCTGAGTTTTACAAAGCGTTTCAGGAAACCACCAAAAGGGAACTTGATAATCTTTAAAGGAGATCAATTGATAGAATTTTTCATGGGTATTTTTTCGTGTATTTTATTTAAAAGGTCATTTTCCCTGATATACTTTTTTAAAATTTTACAAGCATATTTCAACTCATGTTTTGTTTTTGAATTTTTTCTTAATAAAGTTTTATTTGATGCACATTTCGCAGTTCAGACTTTGCTCTTTCTAACGAAAAAAAGCGAAATCTTCGGAATAGTAGAAACATGACGAAACAGCGTTCGACATTTTGTACAAAACTCATGCATAGCCCGTTCGTTGCAAAAGAGACCCCTTGTACTTTTGTACATAATGACTTTTTTAAGACACCACAATCAGTTTTAAATAATGAATAATTCTGGCTGTTTTGTTCGAAAAACATGTGTGCTGTTTTTCTCTTTCCAAACAGGTTTCGGAGGAAAGCATCATGATCCATCAAGTTTTTCAGATGTATATGACGAAAGTGCTCAAACATACTACATTACAACGCTGGATTCAATGAACACAGCGGCTGGCGTCACTCGTGGGAAATACATTAAAACATACGAGTTTGATACGTTGCCATATCATGTACGTAGGACAAAATATTAAATTCTAACGATCTGTATGTTGCACTGACCAGAACAAATTCAGATTATATTAAACGTCTTAAGGATGTATCACGAAACACATTTAAGTATATAGCAAGCTGAGACGATACCATGAAAAAAATAGACACCCGTGAGCTCACGTGAAATATCCATGAATCGGTTTTACTCATATTTTCGCAGGTGGTCACGAGCGAAAAGTTGTAAAATAGTTTGTGGGCACACATCATAAGGAATTCCCACTTGCGAATACGTGAGAAATTAAAGAAAGTATGCGCACAACAGTCCGTTTGATGCGAGAACTGTATGATCCCGACCCCCTAAAGTTTCGGTAAAACTTCTCCACAAGTAGACACAACTATGGAAGCAATCGAAGTATATCTGTATTGATGAACGTTTTCATGCTAGATGCCTCTGATGAGATCTACGCTTTACAGAAGCGAGCGTTTTTCCATGGCGTTATATATGTATCATCTCATACGAGCAAACATCAGGAAATAGAAATAGATCATTGACTTTTTCATTTAGAATGGTAAACGTTTAACTAACAGTGATGTAGATCAGTGTATGCAAGAGAATCGACCTCTAAATGAATTATATAAACAACGAACTAAGCAAAAATTACCTGTACTTAATACTGGTGACTCAGGTGGACCGCTAATGTGTTTGATTACTGTTAATGGAGTACAAAAATGGGTACAATATGGCGTTTATATTCGCTCGGTTGCGAGAAATTCTAAAGTTACCAATATCACGTATAAACTGCTGAATGCTCGATTGACAAATATAACTTATTTTTTGAATAAAATACGGGAAGTAATACAAAAAACAAATGATCACATCCAGAAAATATTTTTAATGAATATACCTGAAAAGAAAACAGGTAAGTAGAAAAGCTTGACATTCTTCACTTGGAAACTTTTGAAAAATTGATTGGTATTTCGTTCGCACTAAGTAATTTCTCCAGATAAAAAGTTATTGTGTCTGTAGTCATTTTATCAAGAGTTTTATAGTTGTCTTAACTTTGTTTATTTAATGTTGGACGACATTTTTGTAGTAACTCTTCTACTTTGATTTTTCTTCGATACCAATCAGTTTTTTATGCATTTCAAGAAGAGAGAACACCTTGAAAAGTCCCTAGATCAGTAGAAAAATATCAATGAGCTTTCTGGACTACTTCCGAGCAGTTTCTGAAACATGGGTTTTTTGCTTGGGTCCCTAAAGTAACTGTCTCTCTAACGTATATGAATGTACAACTATCACATTGTAGTACGGGTCGTAAGTATTTGGTGTACCTTAGACGAGAGCAATCATCCGCATTCATTAACTATTAGCACGTCTACAGCTGTTGCGTTTGAAATTGTGTCATAATGACATTAGCACTACTTACTAACTTCTTCGTTCACTTACTATCTTCTTGTCAGACATCCTAAGCAATCACATTTGAGCAATACTAAAACAACACTACAAGTAACAGTTTCATAAAGCTTAATATATAATCTTAAAACTGCTAAACAACCATCCAATACTGAAACGTCTTCAAGGACACTAAACGCTTTTCTTTTAGAAAAACAACAGCCTTCGAGTTCGGAAACGAAACCTTATGGCAAGCAACTAACAAGCAAACATCCACTAACAAGTAGTGATGTTAACCAAGGCGAAATATGTTGTCGTAAGAGCAAAGTTTTATTTGTTGAACTTCTGGTGTTTAAGGAGGGGAGTCCTCCCACCCACTTTTTCAACCAGCATACTTTAAAACATATGTTTCAAGACGTTTTTTAGTTTCGGAATTCATAGTTTTTGAGAAAAATATTTTTTAAGTTCCGTATAGCTTTGCACCATTTTTGAAATTTATATAAAATTTTCATTTTTCGAGATGAAACCTTGAATCTATCGTCATTGGAGAGAGCAGATTGAAGTCGACAAAAGAATATTCATTTGTATGAAGTCTGACGGAGAAACTTGACTTTGACTTGCCCATACCATTTCTAGCGTAGAAAGTATTTTTAAGACAGCCTTGAACAGCGTTTCGCTTCAGGAAAGCATTATGGAACAAAAGTGTTAGAACAAAAATTGTTCAGCATCAAATTCTACTTGAATAAACTGAAAGAATTTTCAAAATTTCTAAAACTCAATTTTTAAAGCCTAAAATACTAGTTTTAAAATTTTAATTTTCGTAAATTTAATTTAAAAACTGACTTTTAGGAATTTAAAAAGTTTCTTCGGTTGTTTCAAGCAGAATTTGATGCTGAACAATTTTTGTTCCAACAGTTTTCCTTGAAAATGCTTCCTTCAAGCGAAATTCTGTACAAGGTCTTGGATGATTTTGTGCTCAGGGACTCTGAAAAGTCGGCATGAAAAGCTTTATTTTTTTCGATTTTGACAGTTCAATTCGACTCTCTATGTGAAAGTGTCTATGTTCTATGAGTCGAAGATTTTCTGAACACTATCTTCTGGTAAGAAAAGAGAAAGTAGCGTGTGCAGCGTCTCAGTATTTTCAATTTTAGAACTTGACATTAAGAAATTTAGCAACATGAAAATATTATCCCATAGAAAAAATATGATAAAAAACTTCTACACTCATATCACCGCTCCAAAATGCTTCCCTGCAGAAAAACTACAGGCAAGATTTCGAAAAGGCACACTTTTGGTCCCGAGAATCCATTTTCCGCCATACCTTGTTCGAGAATAATGACAATCTTTTCACATATACATCTCGATGTGGTCTATCGATGGGTTACAAGATCGAGGTTTCAGAGTGAAAAGTAAATAGTTTATTTAAACTTAAAAACTAAGGAAAAAAGGTCCAAAAAATTAAAGATTTTTTCTAAAAAATTACAAGTCCCTAAACCTCCAAACTCTTTTCATATATATTGTGAAGTGTCCTCTAGAATGTGGCAAAGTTTAAACCAAATCTGAATGAGAAGATCATTCTACGATGTGTTTGCTGTACTTTATGCAAATGTTAAATATTAGATATTCTTGTGCACATCATTTTTCGTTCACAACGTGAGTTACGTTGGTCAATTCTACCGCATTGGGAAATTTTAGGATGAGACTCTCATTTCCTGGTTCAGTAGACAACTTTGCATTGGTAGTTATAAAAATCAGGCTCCACTCTATGTTGTTTTTCAAATTAAAAGAGTCGGGCTCTATATTGTCATTTTCCCTGGCTCTAACGAGGGAATCTCTCGAGGTTATAAATCGCTTTTTGATAAAAATCTAGTGGGCTATAGGTTATCGACCATGCTGATTTCGAATATGATTATGGGAGCAGCCCATGGTCGTTCGAAGATTCGTTTTTCTGGAAAACCAGTTTTCCGGAAACTTTACAGAATAACCAGAACCTTTGATTGAGTGGACACAATTATAGCTCGCAAATTTCTGATTAAAATGAGATATCTCCCATCTCTACACGACCTTTCTTTGCAAAGTTATAGAATTTACAAGAAAAGCCCTAAATCCTCAAAGCTACAGAAATAAGAACAAATTAATTTAGGGCTTTTTATTGTAACTTTCTCTTAATAAGTTACGATTGCAGCCCACGAAGTTCTGATCAAAATGAGAAATCTCCTACCTCTATGCGGCCTTCTTTACAAAGTTATAGAATTTACGAGAAAAGCCCCAAATGAATTTCTTCTTTTTTTTGTAGCTCTGAGCATTTAGGGCTTTTCTTGTAAATTCTATAACTTTGCAAAGAAAGGTCGTATAGAGCTAGGAGATGTCTCATTTTAATCAGAAATTCGCAGGCTACAATTATGTCTTCTCAACCAAAGGTTTTGGCTATTCTTTAGAGTTTCTGGAAAACTGGTTTTCCAGAAAATCGGATCTTTGATCGACCATGGGCAGCTCCCATAATCATATTCGAAATCAGTATGGTCGATAACCTATAGCCCACTGGATTTTTATCAAAAAGCGATTTAGAGGTTCCCGAGAGGTTCCCTCGTAAGAATTTTGTGGAAAAGAAATTTATGAATGAGTAAAATGGCACCTATTTGAAGTTTGTCCACTCTATGTTTGTTCGACTACGTAAATCACTTATGCTTCTCTCTTCATCAGTTTACGTCTCTACAATTCTTCACTATAATCGGTCATTGACCAACGAATTTTTAAATTAAATCGCTAATTATTTTTCAGCCACGCTTGCATATCGTAGTTATACTGTAAAGGACGAATCGTCTACAAGTGATAACATATTATCATGGTGCCAGACAGATGGTGAAATTGTATCCAGTGCTCCGTTAGACAGAATAAAACTCGATGAAACATGGCAATCTTGTTGTGGTTATTCACCTCGTACATACATATATAGCAATGATCCACGGTTTAAAGGCACAAAATATTATCATGATCGTGTTAAACGCATATCCTACGGACGATTTACATCAGTTGGCGATTGGTCATGGAGTATACAAATAGAAACGAATAAACAAGACTTGTGTAGTGGAAGTTTAATTCACCCGGTAACCACTTACGCTTCATTTTATCTGCATCTTACCTGATTTTACTTAGCTATTTTAAGTATCTGGCGCTGACTAGTAAAATGTGTTTTCCAAACATGAAAGAGTTGGATTGGATAAAAGTTTGGGCTCGTCACAGAGGTCAAACAAATAATATTGACAGTGTACAAAATGTTGAACGTGTCTACTATCAATTCTCGTCAGATGAGCAAATCGATTTTGTCATATTAAAACTTTTCAAACCGTTTAAATTTGATAGTTTAAATCAACCAGGTGACTATGCATACAAATCAGATTGATGTTCCTTATACATCATATGCTTCTAGTTTGTTTACCGTCCAGTTTCCAAAATAAACTAGCGGTCGATTTAATTCGACAAACACAAATATGTATACAAACCGGCTATGGGCATAAATATCATGATAATGACAGAAGACAAACTGACGTTGAGCGTTATAGTGAAAGTGATTTAGAAGTAGCTATTGAAAATTTACAATTCTCATCCATCAAGCATATGTTTAACGTGCTACCATTTAAGGTATGTTTTTACTGAAGTGATAACTGTGTTTTATGTGTTCAACTTCTCTCTGTTTATTTAGAATAATGTTCTGGTCAATAGAGAGGATTTCAAGGCGTTTCATGATAAATCGCTCGACGATTTGAATAAATACCGAGACAAACTTCAAATACCGAGAATTCAACATGGCGATTATGGAGCACCACTCATGTGTTTATCAGAAGTGAACGGTAGACAAAAATGGGTTCAAGTGAGTCATTTGGCTTCACTATTGTCTCACTTGATATAATGTAATTTCGTTTCTAGTATGGTATTACAGGGTCTGCTGAAGAGATCTATTTTCATAGCCGTCCACAGACTAAATTTCGGTCTTTGGTTGGACGAATAACAAATGTGACATATATCTTGGACAAGATCCGAGAAGTGATGAGACTAACGAACAATGAGATGAACAGTAATAGTTTGAAACTATCATAAGTTCAAAGGGAGTCATCGACTACAGAACTTGTATTACTACGTTAATATAACTCGTACACTGTCGATATTCCGAGACAAGAAGAAATCGAAGTTTGTAACAATCTTGATTTGTTTAATGGTTAGTTGAAAGTTTAGCTCCTTCAAACTCGGATATAGACTTTTTACAGGCCCAAGAATATCTCCTAGTTATGCACCTGTATCGGTATCCATATCGAAATACCGCGACCAGAAATACCGACCTTTTTGAATGTTTTTATCTGAAATGAGATATTTTAGCGTCATGGACAATCAGAACACAAAAAACATTCAACTGTATGTATATTCTAAACATGTGTAAGAACAACTTACATAGAAAACCAAGGAAAACTTTGGCGTTAGAAAGCAAACAAAGCTCTTGTTTTGCATTCCGGACTCATGGAGTCCCTTGGAGTCCTTAAGGAAACTTAACAAAAATTTTATTGAACGGAAGTGTCCCAGAAATCTCGATTCCCACAAAGAGAACAAAAACGTTCTGCTTGTGGGAAAAAAATTCACAGAACAGAACACAATTGTTCGAGGGGGAAACAGCAGACTCCGGGACTCCAAGGGACTCCGCTATTTTCTGGAGTCCTTGCTATTATAAAAATCCATTCCAAAAATCTACACTTCTGTATTCCATTGGACTTCAGAAGTCTAGAAGTTAGGCACCTGTTCCCGAAACCGAAGAATCCTCTTCGCGAAACAGAACAATCCTGTTCTTTTATTGGGACAATTTCTATACAATAAGTATATATAGTGCAAGTAACAAAGAGAGTTATTAAACGTATAGGCAACAGGAGAAAGGTGAAATATGAATAAAGAGAGATAGGATGAACAACGAGAGAATGATATTAAATGCGTTCAGAATGAGTAAGGAACATGCACACAAAGGAGAAGGATGCAGAATGTGACGGACTGAGAAATGAATAATAGGAGAGTGATGTAGTATGATTAGAAAGAGTGTACATGAATAGGAGAGTCGGCGTAAGGAGAGGTTATTATTTTTACAGAAACAATATGGTGGAAAACTGATTTTACCATTCGATAGAGTTCATTGAGTGCTGTCTGGCACACTTACCTCCAAAGATGGCACAGCTTTAATAAAAAAACGTTAGGCGAAAATACAAAAGTTTGAGTTTTCGTCTCGTTCAGAAGATCATTTCAAAAACGAAGGAAACAATATAATATAGAAATCTGCTGCTAACTTTCTTTACGTAAGAGAAGAATAGAAGGTTTGCATACTTATAAGTATGAAAGGAAAAGAACGCGACAAGTTTAAAAAGTGGATGATACGTGATGTACGTTTAAGCACATATACTCAATGTAGAAACTCAGAGAGGAAAGAGAAACGATTTAACTTAATAATGGTGTGAAGTTCTTTTGATCCATCAAACCGACGTTAAACCCTAACTAATCGCAATCTCCATTGTCATGTTGAAGGAAACATTCATTTTCTAGAATGCTGCTGATGTGGTGAGCTTGGTGAATGTGATGTGACAGTTGTGAGGTATCAATGATTGATGTCTGATTAGCATCGTCTTTACAACTACTACTAAAAGCCGTTATTGGCGTTAATGTATTATCCGGATTTTTCCGATAAGCACGTCCATTTCATGTTACAATCGATCTTTTTTTGTCAGCAGGCAATGAGGCACGGGCAGAATGAAATAATTCCAATGTCTCTGAATCCATATCTATTCCCGACTTCGGTCTTTCCTGGCACTCGTCATGTGCTTCAGGTGGCCTGCAAAACTTTCTCAAAGAAGAAACCTTCTTCGACGCTCTCGAGCCTATTTTTGCTTACAAACTCGCGTACTGTTGTTCTTTGAGCAGATTTCTAGTTTGATGTCTAACAATACACCCGTAGCGACAGTTTATGTCGATTATAAGAATCCTCTTGATCACTTGTGGCACACTGGCTGTGTTGCCAAATTAAAAAGAATGGGAATTTCAAAAAATTATTTACGTTGGATAAATATATGGTTGAGTGGGAGAAGGGCATTTATAGAGATTGGTGGAAAAAAGTCAAGATGGTTTAAAATAATGAAAGAAGGACTGCAAGGAAGCATATTCACTCCAACACGTTTCATTTGTTATCATAGTGATATGGACATTTTTCTTGGCTTTTGTTTAAGTCAATTTTTTGCCGACGATTTGGCAGCTATATGTTCTTCCTTTGTTCGATTGTTTCCTCTCTATCCACTATTCACGTACAAAAAACTTTTCTACTTTTCTATAACGTTTTTTTTCCACTCTTGTACTGTAAGGACCATTAATGGCAAGGGGGAAATAGCGAACTCTTGGACTCCTGAAGTCCAGGAGTCCAAGAGCAAAAGTGTTCATTTTTTGGGAAGTGATTCCCAAAAAGAAAACTTTTGCTCTCCGACTCCTGGACTTCAGGAGTCCATGGGAGTCCATAGGAGTCTAAGAGTTCGCTATTTCCCCCTTGATAAATGGTCACAGTTATTTGCAAAATAAAACAAAAACAAAGAAGCCATCCAAAACTTAAGGTAGTCTCCTACTATCAGTAAAAAAGATACATCTAGTGCAAATCCAGGGTCTGTAAATTCTATTGGAGCCTATCTGTTAGGGTTTGTTGGATCTACTAAGGTCTACCAGGTCTACTAGGGTTTATAAGGGTCTTGCTATAAATGTGTGTGTGTTTCCGCCTGCACTCTCAGAGAACAGACCGCGTGTGTGTGTTTGTGCCATCACCCTTAGAATGATAGACCCTTGTAGACCGTGGTAGACCCTAGTGGAATAGACCTTAGTAGATACTGCCCAAAGTATTGATAAATTTAATAGAAACTGGGTTATTTTAGAAGTCATTGTTTTTGAATTACTTTATAATTCATTTACGGCATCCACTGGACAGGGAAATCATCATAAAGAAAAGAACTGCGATAAGAGGATTATTACGCATTTGACTATCGAATAGTCAACATTTGAGCTGTTAGTGTTTGGTTGATATGGACGACTGTTAGCGGAAGTGTGCCTTATATCTACGACCAAGCTTGGAAGAAATACTGTAGTCTATTTCAAAAAATAACGAAAATGGGTGCTGGCTGCTGTAAACGACTAAAGCGTAGTGTCGTTCATCCTGTTGATAATACGAGCAGTGACTTAATAAACCACACGACGAATGGAAATTTGACTACTATTCTAAGGAAGTTAAACGAACTGTCAATATCAGTTGATGTTTTGGATAACGAATCACCAACTACCATAAACTACGGCACGAATTCTTCCGCCATTTATGAGCCAAAAGAAACTTCAGAAGATGTTATAGTAGTTTTGTTCTATGATGATAGTGAATATTCATCCAATCTTCGACAATTAGCAGAACAATCGTTTATTTCCCATATGAAAACGTTCGATAATATCGAGCGTTTTTTTCTTTATATCAAATGGATCGTAAATGAAAAAATATTACTCATTATTCCGCGTTATTATCTTCCCAGACTTGAAGTAATTTATCGTTTACGAACTATTGATTCCATTATTGTGTACCAGGGCGGTGATGATCAAAATGATCGTTTTTTAAATGCATATCCTAAAATTAAAAAAATATTTCTAAAAGAACAAGATCAACAATTGATTACTGAATGTATTAAAGAACAAATTAAAATTATACATAAAAATTTACTGGAAATTAGTGTGTTTGATTTAAAACAAAACTCAACTAGTCAATTAACAACAGAATCAGCATCATTTCTATGGTACTTGACTGTGACAGGTGCATTTAAAGAAATGAATGCGATCAAAAATATTCCACGTGAATATGATAATATGATACAGATATGTAAAAGAATTTATTCGAGTAACCAGTTTGAACTGGAAAATATCGAAACGTTTCGTCATTCATACGCTTCGAGTACTGCTCTTGATTGGTATAAAAGTGAAGAGTGCACTGTAGCTCGAATATTAAAAAAAGCATTGAGAATCAAAGATATTTATGTATTGTATTCATTGAGACTTTTTCTTGTTGATTTAATCGACCACTTGAAAAGCATCGAACAACAAGTGACATCTGATACGATTGCGTATTTTAGTTTAAAAATGACTCCAAAAGAAATTAGTCGTTTTCATAACCAATCCCAAACTATTTTTTTAATTTGCATTAATGGACTTCTATCGACAACATTAGATCTTGATTCGATACTCGATTGCCTGAAAAATGAAACACATGATACAACTCATTTAAAGTCTGTGATAATTGAAATAAAAATAAATAATGGTGACAGTGTTGCCTATGTAAATGGAAATAACAAAAGAGAGATCTGGTTCAATCTAGGAACAGTTTTTCGAATCGAAAACGTGACCACGGATACTGAGTCAGAACTAACAACAATTCATTTATCGGTGGCAACAAAAGACGGTTTTGATTCTTTACTAAATTATATACAAAAGACAAAACAAGAATTTGAAGATACAAGTATGACCGTCATTTTTGGTAGACTCTTATTTAGTATGGAACAGTATCGTAAAGCTCATGAGTATTACCATTTATTGCTTCATCAGTATAAAAATACTATTAATTTTAGTCTACAAGCTAATATACATCGTAATATTGGCCATATATATTTAGAAAGGGAAAATTTAAAAGCAGCTTTGATCCACTATAATCATGCAATTGATTTATTTAATAACTCGCCAGATAGTATTCCGCAACATCTGGCAAAGACATTAATTGATATTTCAAAACTATATACCATGTCTAATGAAGATGCAAATGATATCGATGTACCGGCTGATCACATTACTCAGTATGCAGAGAAGGGTATAAAAATATTACTTGATAATTCATCCGCTAGTCGAATATTCGAATATTATGGTATTTTAAATTGTGATAATTTAGAAAATTCGCTCCATTACTTTCAACTACAACTACAAATATATGAAGAAACTAACGAACAGTCACATATAGCGAGCACTTTGGAACAGATTGGCCTGATTTATTTTAAACAAAACGAATATAAACAAGCCGTTCGCTATTTCGAGTGTGCATTGCAGATTTATGACATTATATTACCCTTCAACCATCCAAAGCTTGTTTACAATATGCGATTACTTGCTTTAACTGTAAAAAACATTGAAGGCAACGAACGAATTTATTGGGCCTATTTTAGGAAAGTACTTGAAATGGAACATAGTATATATCCAGAAGACCATATTAAAGCTTATTTCTCATCTGATGATGCTATTGCTTCGGTTATAGTCGATGATAATGAAACATTTCAAGTGTGTAATAACAGAAAATTGGAAGAACAATTTAATTCATGTATTTGGTTTCGAGATTTCGATACGGTACAATGTCTAGATGTAGTCTCGTATGAATATTTCAAAGCATGTAATTTTGACGACTGCGTTGATATAATGAAAATAGCTTTGGAAATTGAGCAAGAATTAGTTCCACTTCCGGATAAAAGTGTAGCTGATAAACTTAAACTCTGTGGTACAGCACGTGCTTACCAAGAAAACTATGTCGAAGCAATATACTACTTAACGAAGTCTCTAAATCACTTTAGAAAAACACTTCCTGAAGCTCATATACGAATACAAAAAATTAATCAACGACTTTCTCGTATCAATTATTTATCTATAAACAAGCAGAATATTACACAACAATTGTTTGAAATCTAAAATGATAAACGGCCTCTGGTAGGAGTGGCATATCGTTCAAGATTATCATCATTAAATTCAGAACATGACTCAGATACACGAGGTGACTGGTCTTATTTAGAGATGGAAAACGAGGATGATATGATTGTATTTGATGGACGAAAGCAAATCGTTGTCTGGATTGATGAGAATCTAAATGTAACAGACAAACAAGAGTTTTTTGCTAAAATTAAAGCATTCGAAATGACGAATTTAAATCTATTTGACAATATTACATTAGCTATTGCATTCATGATGAATACACCTTTTAAGCATTACCAAGTAGTCGTACAGGAGAAATTAGCCGATGAATTTTTTGAAACTCAAAAATATGCACAACTTCAAAACAAAAATTGTAATACTTTATGTGTGTTTGTTTTTGAATGGAACAAAAATGAAGAGAACAAAATGGAAGTTGAGCGTGGAACTTATGATAAGTATTTATCATATCTACCATGTAGTAAACAGTGTTGGCCAGAAATGTTGACAGTATCTGAGCGATGCCTTTCTATATCAAATAATCGCACGCTTTTATTTAATTTCTGTACACGTCCAAGTTCAGATGATTATTATATTCTTATGCTGTTCAATCATACGAAAACCAATGGTTGTTGGATCGAAAACCTAACTTCGCAAGTTGTTACTCCAAATCGTGCTTTTCTACCGTGTGGCTCACTGACACAGAATAATCTTGATGGTGTCACAAACTTTGTGGATAATCAAAGCGTTAAAAATTTCAAGAACTATGTCGAAGGGTTTTTCCAAGCATGGGAAGCACAATTGCCTCCACCACCGATACCATCTGCTATGGGTTTTCAATTTTGTTCGCTTGATACTGTACCGGAAATATTCGATTATCTACGAATACCAAATTTCAATGAGAAACATGAGAAATTTGTCATACAAATTACATCAATAACACTCTCCTTGGCTATAAAGGAAAGAGTCTTATCGAGTTAAAATGCTAGTATGTATGTATGTATGTCCGCGATGTCCGCAGCGGGAGAGACAAACGCAAATTGGTAGCTGGCAGATAAACACACATTTCAAGACATAATATAAGAGTGATTAGAAATAAAAATTTAAGAATTTAGAATGTTATAACAATTACATGGTTTTCAATCTGTTACTAATCTGTAGATCCATCTAACTGATCTGTGGTTTTAGCGCTGTCGCTAGCTTGTCTGATGCAGCTTTGTCTAGTCCTAATGTTCTTATTTATTTATTTCTAATAATATATCATTCGAGCATATATCTGTACAGAAAAATAATAAAATCTTCAAATTTTGGTGATTTTTTTAACGAATAAAAAAACAAAATAGTTAGTTCTTGCTTTGAATGTTGTGTTTATTTTTGTAACATAAAACACTTCGTTATGGTGTGTCCAGTACAGAAAGTCAGATACTAGCATAGTTTTTTTTGAAGTTTTATTATGTTAACGTCTTGATTAAAATTTAAAATTGATGCTTTTAGACCGAACCTGGAATGTAATCCCCCCTGTAAGTTCCCTGATCAGCATAATACTGTAATCTCAATAAATGACTGTCTTTTGGTTCCTTGTATGTATACACGCTCTTGTTTGTATCACTATCAGACGCATTGAAACTCTCAAAGTATGCTGCTATAGTGATCCTGATTTGTATTGAATAATCATTAGTTTTTATTTGTAAATTCGCAGCTATTTGTTAACGCCATCGTTACTGGCGATATTTGAATTCTGAGAAATATTCGTCGTGCACAACAAGTTAGATCTTTTTTGGTAGAAATGAGCAAAAAGTATCTGGCCGACTGAGCAAAAATAATCGCCAGTTAATCAGTTGATGCCACATCCAAATATGTTACATATTTAGATTTTTTCCACTATTTGAAGATTTTTTATGTATGGTATGTCTTTCTCATACATGTATGAGAAGCAAAAATGCTCTACGGAGAGAATCTAGCTCCATCGACTACATAACCGCGCGGTTATTCACTTGATGGATCTAGGTAAATGTACCTTTTTACCTAGTTAACTAGCTCCAACCTAGTCGTGAACCGAGCAGTAGGTTATCATAATCGAGAAGGAGCGGGAGGTTGACATCTAAATTAACCGCCCAGTTAACCGACCGGTTAAGCTAGATCCGAAGACGAAAAATATTTGATTAGAGGAAGGCGATCACCTAGGTTAACCTACAGGTTAACCGGGTGCTCTAACTAATCTAGCTTAAAAAATACGAAAAAAAAAATATGTGCCTAACGAGAATCGAATTCGCTGACCAGCGCACTCAGAATTGAGACTAGAAGTACGCGGCATTTTAACCAACTAAGCTACCAGGCACACATGTAGTAGTTGATGAGTGATGTTTTCCCTTTGAAAAAAGCATTTTTGAGAGTTAAATCTGCGACATAAAATGTAGTAAATTTAATTTTCTAAATTCTATGTGTTGGGACCAGATTCTCAGAAATCGTTCTTTGTGGTAGAAAACAGTAAATATCGTTTTCAACGGTGAAGATCGATTTGTACAAAGTTGAACTCATCAGATAAAATCGAACAATTTAAATTTGCCATATCTTTGTCTCAATACTCAACTTTGAAAAGTTTATTTTTCATGGTGAAAAATCAAAAAATATCATCTTTTTGCCTAATTTCCAAATTTTCCAAATGAAGGAAAACTTTTTCAAAGTTGACTTAAATTAAATTTACCATATTTTTGTCTCTAAGTCAACTTTGAAAAAGTTTTCCTTCATTTGGAAAATTTGGAAATTAGGCAAAAAGATGATATTTTTTGATTTTTCACCATGAAAAATAAACTTTTCAAAGTTGAGTATTGAGTATTGATAAATTAAATTTACCATATTTTTGTCTCTATCAAATTTCTTCTTTGATACCCAACTTTGTACAAATCGATATTTAAGATGAAAACTGATATTTACTATTTCTTACATTGAAGAACGATTTCTGAAAATCTGATCCCAGCCCATAGAATTTAAATTTGCTACATTTTATGTTACAGACTTAACTCTCAAAAATGTTTCCTTTAAGGAGAAAATACGAGAAAGCAGAAAAGTATGCCCCTCTGGCAGGTTTGAATCTACAAAAGGGTTGTACTTTTCTGCTTTCTTTCTATTCGTAGTAAAATCGATTTATAAGTTTGTTCAAGTGTCTTTGCAGTTTTAGAGTTACGGTTTTAACAACTCTGCTAAATGCTGGATTCCAAAAACTAAATGAATTTTCTTTTCAGAAACAGCCGTTTTGTCTCATAACCAAGATCAGACTTCTTCAGTGTAAAGAGAAATAGAATCCCAATGTAGTAACGTTTCCTAGTGTGTAATATTGAAAACAGTGGGATTTCTTTTCTGTACAGAATGAATACTGGCAAAGGTTCATCGTAACGAAGCATTTTTATAAAATTTCCTAATTATTAGTCTCTTGCAAAACTCAGCTGAAATGTCCTAAAATAGTTTGTTTACGCCACCGGAATAAACAATAATCTTCTTCACCCAAGCAAATATCACCTATGAGAAAAATCTAGATACATTTCTTCTATAATCGGGCGATATACGACTAGTTGCCATCTAGATTACTAGTTGGAAAAGGGACTTTTAACTAGATGCGTCTGCGTGAACATCTAGCAATAGTTAAATCGATCGATTATCGGGCGATAAATCGATAGTTGCAACCAGAAAAAATCTAGTAATCGCCCAATTACTAGATTTCCACTGTCGTTACACAGTAGTTGCAATCGAGTAAAAATCTAGTAATCTAGATGAATCGGGCGATACTAGATTTT